TCATTTTTCCCATGTTATCATGTTTTCAAAAGTATTTAAAACATGAAAATCAGGTAAAAAGATGATTGCACGTCCTTCCAATGGTAAACTGGAGCATTCCCTAGCCCCTCTCTACTCAAAGTATGGACCAGCGGCATTAGCATCACCAAGAAGCTTTTTTGAAATGTGGACTCTCTGGTCCCAACCCAGACTCACAGATTCAGAATCTGCATTGTAACTAGGTTCCTCACGTGAATCTTGGACACACTGAAATCTGAGAAAAGGTGTAGCATGCCTGCCTAACTCTCTAGGGCCTGGATTCTGTGAAGTTACACGTTGATTGTAGAAGACTAATAAGTTATAAAGCCTTTTGCCAATAAAGGTGAAAATGATTTCTGTCTGGCAGAAAATGTGATCCCGAAGATTATAGTTCATCGCCCTGTGGGATATTAGCCAGTTTTGTATCTGATTTCAGCATTTTTGTGTGTGTGCACTCGCGTATGTGTGTGTATGTGCATGTGTGTTCCACATACGTTTTCAGATCCTTCTTTGAACTAGTTTCACCATCCTGCTGGTTCCCTCAATAGTGAATTAAATCCATCTTTAACATGTGTTCGCTCTCTATTTGTATGAGCAGCATGTCTTTATCTTTTCGAAAGTTGTACTTGGACAGCCAGATTTATCATCCTTTTTAATAGCTCTATGGTATTCCACTTTGTGGTTGACCATAATTACCTATTTACTTATCCGTTGCCATGTTGTTAGACGTTGAGGAAATCTCTATTATGTACCAGTATAAATAATTACTCAGTGAACATCTTTGAAAACAAAACTTTTCCTGTTTTATGTTTCTTTGCCTTTGAGTAAATTTTCAAGTACAGGATGAATGGACCAAAGGGTATGAACATTTTTAAGATGAGCAATATTGGAGTTTGCTAAATGGACAAGAATGGAAGGGCATTCCAGATGGCCAGAGCAGCCTGCAGAGAGGCCAGAGAGCACGGGTCCCACAGGCAAGATGACACAGACTGGCTAGGATGTGAATGGTTGTTCTGCAAGGGGCTGGCCAGGTAGGAGGGAGACCAGACTGTAAAGAGCCCCAGGACCCAGATGATGTATTCAGTGTAAAGGGAAGCCATTGATAGCTTAAGTAGAGAAGCAACAGAAGACCTACATTTTAGAAAGACAACTCCTAACACTAGGGAATCCTCCCGAAGGCTCCTGAAATGGTCTTATCTAAGATGGGACTTCTTTTTCTTTCTTTTTTTTTTTAAGATTTTATTTATTCATTCATGAGAGACACAGAGAGGCAGAGACATAGAAAGAGAGAGAAGCAGGCTCCCCGCGGGGAGCCCAATGCAGGACTCCATCCCAGGATCCCAGGCTCACGCCCAGATCCAAAGGCAGTTTGCTCAACCACTGAGCCACCCAGGTGCTCCAAGATGGGACCTCTTAAAACTGCAGGACACTCTGATTTTCTCTACTACACGAACTTACTAGAGTCTTGATGTGCAGGGGCCAGCTCTGCCAGAGCAGGAGACACACACCCGAGAAGATGAACGGCATCACTAAAAATAAGAAAGGATTAAACACACATTCCGGGGAAATGACAGGGCATTCTTGTGGAATTTGCTAGACTAAACTGCAGTGGACACCCTTAACTGTGTCTGTATCTGCAAAACCAGACCTCCGGCGCGGCTTTGCGGGGATGCAGATTTCTGGCACCGTCCCTGAGAAGCCACTGGGGCTCTCCAAGGAGCTGGACTACAGCTGGCCCACACTGAGCTCACGGCCTGCCTCAGCAACTCACCGTCGACAGGAAGGTTCACAGACTTGGGTTACTTTCACAACACTATATCTGATTTTCCCTTTCAGACCCCCATTTCACAAGGGGGGAGCTAAGAGCAGGATCTTGGTTGCCTAACATCGTGCCTGTTGGCCACAGTGTCTTGCCTCATCTGTACAAGACACCGTGAGAGATTCTGAATATGGGAGGTGGTTCAATCTACAGCTTTTTAGGGGTGAGAACCCAAAGGCACCAGTCTGTCTTTAAAGACAGGGACCTCAGGGATCCTTGGGTGGCTCAGCGCTGTAGTGCCTGCCTTTGGCCCAGGGCGTGATCCTGGAGCCCAGGGATCGAGTCCCGCGTCAGGCTCCCGGCATGGAGCTTGCTTCTCCTTCCGCCTGTGTCTCTGCCCCCCTCTCTCTCTTTCTATGTCTGTCATGAATAAATAAATAAATAAAATCTTGTAAAAAAATAAATAAATAAAATAATGACAGGGACCTCTCAATCTAAACCAGATAGGAAATAGGGGCACATGAAGACAGAATTCACAGCTCCTTTCCAAGCCACTACCCCCTGCTCAGAGTCTGAAAACCACTGTTGGTGACAGGATAGGATGGATAAATAGATTGTAGTGTGTTCACACAGTACAGTTCTGTCCAGCAGTAAGGATAAATATGCTACAACCTGGATGACTCCCCAAAACATAATGTTTTGTTCTGTTTAAGTTTTTACCCATTTATTCATGAGAGACCTAGAGAGAGGCAGAGACACAGGCAGAGGGAGAAGCAGGCTCCCTGCGGGGAGCCTGATGCAGGACTCGATCCCAGAACCCCGGGATCACGACCTGAGCTGAAGGCAAACACTCAACCACTGAGCTACCCAGATGCTCCCCAAAACACAACATTAAGAGAAAGAAGCCAGACACAGGAGTTCACACTGTACTGTTCCAAATGTTCCAAGGACAAAAGCAGGTGCAGTTAATCTAGGCCCTGAGAAGTCAGATTAGTGGTTACCGTTGTGCAGGTGTTAGCAGAAAAGGAGGGGGAAGGAGGCATCTGGGGGACTGGTCATATTTTGTTTCTTATTCTGGGTGCTGATTACACGTGTATGTTTAGCATGCGGTATATAAAAATTCAGTGAGCCATGCACTTGGGTTATGTTCACTTTTCTCTATGTATTTTAGACATCAACAAATGGTTTTTAAAAATTAAAGATTAGCCAACTGTGTACAACCTCAAAAACATCTTCTGGTCAGCACTGATAGAAAAATCACTTTCTATCTGTCAAGGATTGGCTCTGCCAGGTATTAGATTCAGAGCTTTATGTGCATAGTACCCTTGAATTCTCTAGGGAGGTGCTATTTTACCCCTATTGTGCAGATGAAATGAGGCTCAGAGAGGTAAAGTACCTTGCCCAAGGTCACACAGTCAGTGAGTATGTGCTACAAGGTGGCCTCCTTTCCATTCCCAGAATGACAACTGTGTCTGTAGTTATTATCTTTCACTTGTCCCCATGCAGGAAGGGATGGTCTCTGCTCTGCCTGGTTTTCCCTGAGATAATGTTCTGGATTCAGGGCCTGCAGGTGTGACTGTGGCAGGTCATCTGCCTCATGAATGACCATAGCCCCCCCAACCCCCGGTGCACAACTCCCCTCCTACCCCAGCTGTAGGGATGGACACAGTGAGATAGAGATGCTCACATTGGCTTTCCTTATCACCCAGACACAGACAACAAATGATCCATTTAACCAACAAGTATTCTTTAAGAAGAGCCACCATCAGCTTAGGCACTCTGTGGTGTGACATTGGCAAGCTCAGATTTAGGGGCTTGGGGTTGGCTAGACCTGAGTTCAAATTCTGACTCTGTACTTAAGCTACAGAGCAAAAAGGCTTTTCCTCTCTGGGCCTCCATGGTTCCCTTCTGTAAAACAGGCGTTGAAGCCATCCTCGGGTTGTTTTGTAAACTAGTCAGGGGGTTACAAGTAAAGCACCGAGCCTGACAAAGAGAGCTATTTGGGAAGAATTAGAGAGCTGGGAGCTAGGCCCTAAAAGGGGACATACATGGTGCTGGACATATGGCTTGAGCAGGGGGAGGCAGGACCGCTGGGCTCCTCCATGATAAGCAAGGCTTCCAGGCAGAGGCAGAGCCTTAGTTGACCTCCAGCATCCAGCTAGGGTTAGATAGGCTTTTCCCAAGGATGGAATGGCCCAGCTCAGACAAAGACCTGGGTATGGGCCAACCAGGCAGCCGAGGGAGATGATGACCGCCCAGCACTGTGAGTCCTGTCTCTTTTGCAGCAAGCTCGAGTGGGCAGTGGATGTTAGGGAAAGCTGCCAGGCAGCGAGGACACAGTGGATGCTTTGAATTCTACAAAACCAAACTGCACGGTGCCCAGTGAGGCTAAAACAGGGCCGAAGGGTACGCTTATTCATATGTATTAAGCAATCAGTTCCCTGGTGGAGAGTGGGAGGCCCTGACTCGTCTGCCAGTTTCTGCAGTGTAAACATTGGCCCGTGGCCCATTTCAGACCACCACTGCAGTGTCACTAGATGTGGGGCGAGGATGAGAAGCACGCGGTTGGCTCTTGCAGGCTGCTAACCCACACACCACCGGGTTTCCATAAAATTTGGGGAACCATGCCTCACTGAGGCAGGGGCCAGGATGCATATGGCTCCCACTGGAAACCAGAGCCCGGTGCTTCAGTAGTGAGGGCCTACTGTGTGCTAGGTCCTGCCATGAGACCTGAGACAGATGGTGTCCTGGCCCTTGTGGAACGACAGCCTGTCAGGAAACTGGCATTGATCAAACAATTGCGCTAAGCTACTTGTTGAGGTGAACACTTGGGGAGAGTACCTGTCTTACATGGAGGGCACGTCCATGTCCTTCATTGCAAAACCATAATAAAAGAGAGACTGTTGTTGCCTGAATCAAGAGCGGAGCACGTCCTCTGAGACCTTTACCACACTTATGTTCGCTTCATGATATTGGTCAGGCTTTTTGTTGTTACAACCCTTTCAAGAACTGGGGCTTGGATTTCAAGTGCCTTTTCTGATGCTCGTGGGGGAAAAAAATCCATCAGTCTATAAGCAGAAAAGCATAGAACCAAAATCTACTCTGGTAACAACAGACTGGACACACCTATAGTTCCCTCCAGACATCAAGCCCAGGCCGGGCTCTGCCACGCGATGAGTACTTGTGTTTGAGCATCTTCCCTCCCCTCTGCTTTGCCTCCTAGGTGGTCTTCGAAGCCTTGCACAATCTGGAGCCCCGTGGCTACGTCGTGGGGTGGATCATTGCCATAAGTTTACTGGTGGGAATCCTTATCTTCCTGCTGCTGGCTGTGCTGCTCTGGAAGGTGAGTCTGGCGATTGTGGGGGGCCCCACGGAGCCCCCACCCATAGGTGCACAGTCTTCCTGCCTCACCAGAGGCAAATTCTCTTGGAAGAAATTTCCTCTTAGGACTTTCTTCATGGTGCAGGTACAGTGGAGGGAGGGCAGGGGCCCCTGCAGGCTCGAATGGAATCTTGGTTCCTCTTGAAGCCACTCATAACCATTCAAACATCTCAGCCTCACTCCATTCTTACCCTTTCACTGGTCCTATCAGGAAGGTAGGAGCCTGACTCCACACCAACAGAAGCCTGGGGAGGCACAGCGGACCCTGGGATGGTTCACCATTTCCTTGGGGGAAAAAAAAGCAAGGGACTGCAGGACAATTCTTTGTTCTTTACCCATGTAGACTATGAAAAGGGCTTCTGCCTTACTCAGGTAGCTGAGATGAGCTAACTGTCCAGGGTTCTGCCTGGGGAGCTGAGTAGACCATTCTCCCAACCCCTTGGTGGTTCATTTGTAGGTGAACCAAGGGATAGATTTCCCCTGCCTCCTTCACCAGGGAATACCTGCCCATCCTTCTTGCCTCCTGTCACTTTCTCGAGAAGAAGGGAATGTCCTCATCCCAAGTCTGAGATGCTTTCTTTGCCTCACACTCTCAGAGATCTGGAGTCCCTTTACTTCAGAGCCTCTATATTCATCAGTAGCAACCTCAGAGTCATTATCTAGTGAAGGTATGTCTCTTCCACTGGACAGTAATGTTCCAGGTGAGTGGAGCCCGTGTGTGGTCTTGGGTCTCTGGCTCCTAGGATAGCACCAGGAACCATAGGTGGGACCTACTGTTCCCAAAGCCTTGATTTTCCAGCGTTCGCAGTTTCAGAGGCAGGCGGACGTGGCCTCTTACAGCATTATAGACAAAAGCTTTAGATTCAAATAATTAGCTTCTGAGATTGCAAAATAATTTTTATTGATCCAACATTGTAACATGTCAGGAAGAAAAAAAAAAGATTGTAAAACACTCAGGAGTCCACATCTCAGAATAACCATGATGAACAGTGTTGTCTCTTCTTGACCTTACTCGCTGCATAAAGATGTAGACCAAGTACTCATAGCACCTACTTATTTTTGAATAGGGATGTTAAATTTTCCAGGGATATACTCGATATATTGTGAGCTACAAGACCTCTAAAGTCAAAACTGTGGGTTCAATTATTAATCTGAAAAAAAGCATATTAAATATACTTTTATCTGAGAAGTCTAGAAACAGGAAAAAAAGTGTTTTATTACACATTTTTCAGACTGACAATGGGACTCATTGCTTTAAATTTAGAGCTATACCACCTGAAAAAGGGTCTGGAGGTTTTTTTTTTTTTTTAAATATTATTTATTTATTTTTATTTATTCATGAGAGACAGCATGAGAGAGAGGGGCAGAGACACAGGCAGAGGGAGAAGCAGGATCCCCATAGGGAGCCTGATGTGGGACTTGATCCTGGGTCTCCAGGATCACAACTCAGGCTGAAGGCAGCACTAAACTGCTGAGCCACCCGGGCTGCCCGGGTCTGGAGGTTTAATGAAAAATATTGAGCACACAACTTGAAGTAAGCTTATCTTACATTCCCATGCTTTTCATGTACTGTGTTTAAGCCTATTCTTCCCCAAACACAGTATTGTAAACATCTTTCCATATTGTTAAAAACCCACTCTCAGGCCTGTCATGAGGCTGCAAGGTCTGCCCTTGTCCAGCCCTGTGATACAGGAGTTTAGGTGGCTCCTGGTTTCACACCTCCTTTAAGAGTGCCATAGTGAATATCCTAAGAGCCAAATATTTGCACAAATCCTCCATTTTGTGCTTAAGATGAAACCCTAGAAATGGAATTACAGAGTCAAAGGAAAAGAGTGCTTTAAACCTTTTATTACATACTGCAAATTGCCTCTAGAAAGGTGATACCAATTCACCCTCCCACAAGCGCTGCAACGTGTCCATTTTCCTATATATTTGCCAGGAGTGGATATTAACCTTTTTTTTTAATCTGCCAATTTGTTGTTTGTTTAATCTATGTGGCCAGTAGATTCTTAACTCCCCCTTCTCTCTTCGAACTTCCTGCCCAGACTGCCTCTGGCCTGTGGGCAAAGAACAAAGCCAGCTCAGTGTTTGGAATCTGAAGAGACTGTAAGGGCATTGGTTGGGGTGTGTGTGTGTGTGTATTTCTTCCTTCTGCCTTTGTCTGGGCCCTTCAGATGAGAGTAATCCTCTGTCCTCCAAAGCTGGGTGCATGAGACCAGACAGGGCCAGAGTGGGGAGTTTTGTGGCCATGCCCCATTCCCTCTCATGACAAGAATGCCCTCCTTTTGACCACCCTTCTTGGCTCTGCCACTCAGGTGTATGTCTCACCTCTGTTTACATGCACTTGCTTCGTTCCACCTGCCATCTGCTTAGCTTTGCTTTTGCTGTGTTTATTTAAAGAATGCAGTTGTAGGAGATGGCTGTCATGGGGTGGCCAGGACCCTGATGTCACCCAGATATATGTGATCCAAAGAGCCAGGACCCAAGAAGGCAGACTCCACCATCTACCATGGACCGGGAAAGAGGGCAGAGTGGTGGCAGTTAAGTGGCGGCATTATCACAGACGAAGTCTTGCCATTACTAATGAGGTGGAAGACAAGGTCTAAAATAGCTTTAAGGAAGCAGTTGAATGATGCCATGGGGCTCAAAACCACTTTGCTCATCATCCAAAAGCCATACTTCATTTTGGCTCACATTTATTGAACACTTGCTTTGAACCAAATGCTGGGTAGGTACATAGATACATCAGTGATTGTGACTCCTCCCTGCCTTTGAACGCTTCACCATGCAGCACACAGACCTATAACATAATAGAGTATGATGAGTGTGTGCAAGCTTCTCTGGAAACTGAGAATAAGGTACCATTAATCTCTCACACCAAGGGGGAATGGAAAGACCACAGAGTACCATGTGAGAGGCCATAGAGTACCATGTGGAAGGTGAAAGGAGCACTTTGCAGGCTAGGCCAATGGCTGTGCACAAGAACTGGGCTCTAGCACTCACCAGCTGTGCAGCTTGGGAGTGTCACCCTCTCTGACATTCAGTCTCCTCCTCAGTAAAATGGAGACCATAACCTGGAGCCTGAGGTATAGAGAAGATACAGGCAAAATCTTTAGCACTGAGCTTAATTAACACTTAGAAGCACCTGAGAAAAATCATAGGACGTTTCACAAATGAGGTGTCATTCAAGTCTGACCTTAGATGTGGTTTGAGTTTTCCAGGCAGGGAAGGGCAGATAGATATTCCATCTAGAAGGTAGAGTTGGTGAGAAAGTTGTGTTGTGGCAAGCAGCTTGTGAGGTGTGTCGTGAGAGGGCAGCCACCTGCGGTGAGATCGTCCCCCAGGGCTGTGACAGCACCCACTGACCAGGAGAAAGGGGAAGCATGGGGGGGCCTGGAGGTAGAGCAGTAGTATTGCCAGATCTGTGCTCCTCTCCCCTCCACCATGGTGATGGCCCTAGCCTCCAGGGACAATATGGAGGCTAGGGCCATCACCATGGTGGAGGGGAGGGGAGCACATTAGAGCAGGTAGGACTTGGTGGCTGGTTGGGCTGGGAGGTCAGGAAGGAATGAAAGTAGCCATCCTTCACTGCTTTTAGCTTAGACAATTGATGGTTTCCCTTAGTCAGAGGAAGGAAGGCAGGATCTGAAGTCATTTTGGAAAAGGAGCTGCTTGGTATGAGACATTCTGAGTGTGTGGTGCCTATAGGAGACTAGAATGGGCTTGAGTCACTCCAAGCTCCCCTCCCATAGCAGGGGGAAGGTTGCCAAAAGGATATTCCTGTCACCTCACTGGTCTGGCCAGCTTTCCCTTCAGTTTCCAGGGCTAAACATACTATCTCAGGCATCATCAAGGCCCTTTTTTTTCAGTGGCAAAAACCAACAACAACAATAACAACAACCAACAAACCAGAAATCCATCCACAGCCTCATAAGCAAGAAAGAGAATTCTAAGGATGTAAGGGTATGCATAGACCCCAAAGGAAACATGTATATCTGCAACCAGAAAGTGTCCAGACACCAAGCCAGACAACCCCCTCTTCCCCTCATTCCCTTTGTCCCATGCAGCCCCTCACTACTGCCTCTCTACAGCCCTGCATCATGTTCTCCCAAAACAGACCTGCCTCTCCACACGTCCCTGCACACAGAAGAAAATGAGTGCCTTCTGCCCCTGCCAAGAGGCAGGGACCTTCTAGTCCCAGCCAAAGACTGATTCCAGTCTGCAAGTCTAGGGGAGAGAATGTATACTGCTGTGGCTGGAGGCAGGAAGCTGGCAGGGAGAGAATTTGGCTCCGCTTGGGTCACATGTCTCCCACTGATCCAAACAGCTAAGACTACGGTGAGAGAAAGAGACAAGGTGGCACTTTGGGGAGGTAGGATGGGAGTTGGGCTGAATCTCATAAAAGAAGGAAATTAGGCAGATACCACAAAGGTGCTCACTGCAGCAGGGCTTCATGGTTGTTCGTGGTGCTGTTGCCCACATCGTGGGCTTTTATATTGTACCATTTAGCCACTGCTGTATAACAAACTGCCCCCAAGTTGAGTGGCTTTGAACAGCCATTATATTACCTCTTACAAATGTATAGGTTAGGAGTCCAGGAAGAGTTTAGCTAGGTGGTTCTTCTGCTCCCAATGACATTAAGTGGAGTCACAAGTGGCATTTACCTGGTGGCATGAGGAGTTCAAGACAGCTTCACTCACATTGCTGGCACTTGGTGAGGATGACTGGGAGGCCCACTCCCTCTCCATGTAGACTCAGAACTTCCCCAGGGAGGGGTCTGACTTCTTACCTGATAGTGTAGGCCCCAAGAGAGCATGGTAAAAGCTGCTGGTTCTCTTGAAGTCTGGTCCAGAACTGGCATAGCATCATTCCACCATACTCTGTTGGTGAAAGCAGTCACATGCCAACCCAGATTCAAAGGAGGGGAAATAGACCCCACATCCTAATAGGAGGAAGGGCAAA